TCTTGCTCTCCTTACCCAGGTTGCTTATGATGGGTACAAGGGCAAAGTCAGAGGGAGGTCCGTTCCCTCTCCATGGGAGGAGACCTGGCTTTGTAGCCAAAGCTTCTTTAGCAATAGGATGGGAGACCTCCAGGATAGGCCAGGAGGAGGGGGCAAGGGGATGGTGAAAGGGCAGCAGGGCAGGACTAAGGCAAGACTTCCCTTAGACCCTCCCCCTCCTTGTTTCCTTCCTAAGTACAGAATGGTGGGAAAATATTTGAGATGAGGGAGGGAGAAAAACAGGCAAGAAACGCAGCTGGGGAGGTGTGACCCTTCATGAGGAATGAAGAAATGCACCATTGCCTGGAAGTGCCCAGCACATGGCCCTCACCTACTTCACATATCTGGCTTGCTGGGCTCTGGGGAGGGGATTCCATGAGCAGCGTGAGAGTCAATGTTACCTGTGCAATGCCTCCCAGCCCTCAGCCTGCCTGGTTTCAGCAGGCAGTGGGGCGCTTTCCTCATAGCGCCAAAAGGCTGAACCGGGCAGCACAAATCCAAAAAGAAGCGCGATGCCGCCCAGCCCCCAGCCAGCCCAGTTTCGGCAGGCAGCGGGGCGCTCTCCTCACAGAGCCAAGAGGTTGAGCAGGGCGGTACGAAGCTCACCAGATTTGCACCTTACTGCCTGTTGAAACTGGGCAGGCTGGAGGCTAGGCAGCATTGCACTTCTCATCAGATTCACGTTACCCAGCTCAGCTCTTTGTGCTGTGACAAGAGTGCCCCACTGGCTGCTGAAACCAGGCAGGCTGGGAGCTGGGCGGCCTCACGTTTCTTTTTGGATTTGCACCGCCTGGCTCAGCCTCTCTGTGCTATGAGGAGAACGCTCTGCTGTCTGCCAAAACCCCTCCCCCAGAGCCCATCAAGCTGGATATGTGAAGTAGACAAGGGCCATTTGCTAACCACTTCCAGGCCATGGTGCATTTCTTCATTCCTCACAAAGGGTGACACCTCCCCTGCATGCACCCAGGAGGTGAGACCGATGCGGCAGGGGCTGGTTCCTCACTGTTTCCAGATGGCTTTGTGGAGCTAAGACTGAATGCATTTCAGCATAGATGGCCACCACAAAATTGTATATTGGCTCCTGGCCGGCCTGGGCCAGGGCGAAGGCAGCAGGGACTGTTCCCTCATTGTTTCCAGAATGGTTTCGCGGGCCGCATGAAACCACTTCGCGGGCCACATCTGGCCCCCGGGCCTTGTGTTTGACATGTCTGCTTTAGTATAAGGTGTGAACTCAGCCAGTTGTTGTTTATTAAACCACCATGATTAAAAGAAGCCCTATCCTAACACAAATGTCTAAACCTGGTCACTTGTGGATTTTTCTGGGGTCCCATGCTTTTTGACATTTTACGACTAAAACATGAAACATGAGGGAGGGAAAGGGGAGGGAAAAAATGTCCTATGAGGTGTTTAAAAGCTGAGTGTTGATTTTATGTCCCAATTCCTTCTGTCTCCTTCTCTTCAGACTCCCCCTCCTCACTCCAAAATATGAAACACCTTGGCAGTTGTAAAATGTATGTGTGCATGCTCATCCTTTTGCCATGTCCAATAGCAAGTTATTATGTGGATTGACAGACTGTCATTGTTTTGATAGCTTGAGCAGTATATCTCTTGAACAGCAATAGAGCTCTTATGCAGAAAGTATTCTATGTTCTGAACCAATTTACAGGGAAACAGCAATAACATTTTATCATGGTTGAGAGCCCCGTAGCTGCTTCCTATTAAGCTTGCCCTTTCAGATACCTGTCTTGGATTAATTTGTTGATTTCAAATGGAAACTCAGTCTTCTCCACTGAAGCATGACTTTTGAGGATAGACTCTTACTGAATGACAATTACGGCATATTCTATTGCTTTCAGACCATTATCAGCTATGGGCACAGTGGAAGACAGAGGACTTCTGCAGTAACATATTTTTATATGTGTTTAATTCTAGCTGTCAGTTATCTATGCACCAGTAGATGAATCCTCAGAAAGATAAAATGCAAAACACCTCCAACTTGCTCCTTTTAATGATATACTTGCTACAAGAGATAAAAGCAACAGGGAGGGAGAAGAAGGTCTTGAGTATCTTGAAGGAAACTGCATTGGGTGATTTTATTTTTGACTTTTTCTTCTAGAAACCAATATTAGAAATATACTAACTATATCTAGATCATCTTGTGATTTTCAAGTGTATATTAAATTAAGCAAACTTATAAACAATATTGTTCGGCTGAGGGATACAGATTTCTAATGAAGACTTCACTGTGCTCTGGACTTTAATCATGAGCAGAATGTATGGGTACATTGAATGATTTCCCATATGGTTTAGGCATGTTTAGTCCCTCCTCCCATCCAATTAACAAAATCTCATAAGATTCCTATCCTGTGAAAACTCACATAAGATTTCAATCTTATACAAAATCTTAGAGAAATCCATTCAAATTTAACATGAGATCTGGTCATGTCATGGAACTTTATCCTTCTTTAAAAAGCAGTAAAAATAAGAAGGTTCACAGGCATTATTGACAGACTATTATAATTTTTTTGTTGATCTTAAGATATCATGTTGCTAAGTCACGCAATACAGTATAAGTGTCTTCGTTGTCTAAGTCCTTCTACAATAGAATTTGATTCTCGAGATATTATGATGCCCAAACATTTAAATTCTTAATTTGCAAACTTGAGTGAAAGCATCCTGATATCTTCAAGTGCTTGTTAATATTCAGGTCATGCTAAATTAACATTCCAATCCACTAGTCTAACTATGGGTATCTAGATATTTCTAATGTTGTGAAGTCCTTGAACAGTGTTGATATGGAGTCATTAGGATTCTGGTGGCATACCAGTTTAATAAATTATTATTAAGTGCAGAGCATTTTGGAGCCAGGCAGTCAATAAATTAAAGAAATAAATGTAAACAGGAAGCCAGTTACAGGCATTGTGGTGTTATATACATTTAAGATAAGGCTCCTTTTGTGGGATGCATCCTTAACTTGGCATCTGTTTTGTGTTACTGGAGCTGAACATTTAGGACTGCATTTCACATGCACTAGTCCATTTCAATGTGCTCTTGAAAGGTATATCCATCAAGACTAGTATGTGCTTCCTATTTATTTAGATAATCTTCACAAAGATTCCTCTTAGAATTCTATTTATCAGAATGAAGAAGGGACAATGGGGGGTGTGTGAAATTTCCCCAAATCTAACGCTTCATTCATCTAGTGCATCTTACACAAGGAGAGTTTTCTGGAACATTTAGGACATTTGATAAAAGAACTTTTTATATTTGTCTTGCAATTTGTCAAAAATTTTCTACACCTGAAAAAAGACTTCTCTTTTATTCTCTGAATTTTTTTTAATGAATTTTTTAATGGTGGTTTACTAAATAGAGAGAAGTAGTGAAGAACACTAGTACTGTTGATATTTTCTGTTATACTGCAATCTCCCTGGCTTTCCAATATGAAAAAGAGCAGTGGAAGAAATTATCTGAAAATGTTTTCTTTGGGGATTTAATTGAAGAATGACAAGCAAGGGAAGCTCCAGATTCTTTAGTTTATAATGAACAATAATGTTCAGGCACACTCTTTGGCTACCTTATAATTTAAAAAGCATAAGAATACCATGCTCCATTCAATTCAGTGAAATTCTCTCTTTTGAAGGAAATTCCAGAAGCAATTTTTTGTCAGAATGTTTTTCAGAACTGGTGGGAAAAACAACAGAAATTTTTTGCATAGTGTTTATTTTTTCTTTTGGATCATGTCTTTCTTTCTGTTGTAAATCAACCTCATCAATGAACAGTATCCTTGAATATGAACAATAGCAGCAAGGTGTAATTAATATTTTCTGTTGGAGACAATAATTGGAAATCAAGCCACAGGTAACACACATTTAAGGTAGAGAAATAAATTGTTAGAATAAGGGATAATATAATTTATTGTTCTAGTATTTCTAGTATTTCAGCTTTGCTTCTTCTTATATGGCATGCTATAAACATAGCCACTGAAAAATCCATCTTTTTAAAATGAAGAAAGTGTTATTTTCTCACAATAATCTGGTGGAAGAAGTTTCCATTCATTACTATATTGTATTAATGATGATGTAAGTGTGAATGCATTGCTTTTTTGTGAAGTAAATTATAAAGGTGTACATTTAGGTGTCTAGTTCACTTACTTTCCTCTGGGTTTATATGTTGGATTGCATCCTATAACATTTCCTTTCTATGCTTATTTTTATATCCATCTTTAAAAATGTTTACATTTATATAGTTAGTTATATTTCAGTTTTTAAAAGTTCTTGCTTTTCACTATAAGAAGTATAATTCTTACAAAATTGCACTCAGTTAAGCTGATAGCCACCGTCATGCCATTGTTTAAAAAAAGAAAAGCCTAATCTGCTGAAATATTTTTCACTATATTTTCAGTTTGTCTCAACTGCACTGAGGTTTGTGCCATCGGTTGGTGAGAGCAATAGAACAAATGATGTTTCTGCTTGGACAAGCTTTGTTTTATCAGGATTTGTAACCTTCTCATCAGTTGACCCAGAACTGTAATGCATGTCTCTGAATAGATAGGAAACATGTATCACAGTAGACTTATTTCTTGAACATCTGAATATAATAACTGTTTAATAAAAAGAAAGCTTACTGTAGAAGAATCTCCCTTTGTCTTAATATAGTAGCTTATGCTTCTGATAATACTCTTTGAATCATATTTCCTTATATAGAAGGGAGCTATTAATTCTGAAGAATCTTTATTTTGTGTCTGGCAATTCATCTAATAATTAGCATGCATGACCAGTATTGAGGATTGATGACCTTTAATTTAAAGAAGAGTCTTCCTCTCAATATCATCCCTCGAGATCATTTTTCAAGTCTCCCAATGAATGTTGAGAAATGACAACATGGTGTCAACATATAAAAAGAAGTCATCCATGCAATGTGCATTTTGACATGAACACTTCTCTTCTTTTGACCTTTGACAGGTTAGGGCTTGACCCAAAGCTTCTGGCCAAAGTCTTAAATATGAGTTCAGGCCGTTGTTGGTCAAGTGATACATACAACCCGGTGCCAGGAGTAATGGAAGGGGTACCATCTAATAATAATTATCAAGGAGGCTTTGGAACAACACTTATGGCGAAGGTATGTATCTATATGTATATAAAAATAACATATATTGGTGTAATAAACTGAGTTACTTTGTTTCAAACAAATGTTTCTTTTGAGTATTTCCTTCTGAACTTCAGGGTAGTATGTAGAATTTTATCCACTATGCTGACATACCTAAGATGAATTAATGTCTATTTCTTTACATTTTGTGGCCCGTTATTATTCTGCTTAGTATATCACATATACACAAAAACACAGTTTTAGTGCAATTTACTCTCATTATACAATATTGAAAAAGTAGCTTTAAAAAAAATAAAAGGATCATGGTAACAGATCTTCATTTTAGATTTTTTTTGAAGGAACATGTCTTCTCTTACATTTGTTTGTGATAAATAAAACTTTTATATTACTAGGCCTTTTTATATAATTTGATGATTTCACTCTGAATGTTTAATAGATTTTGCTATTTTTCTTTGATCTACATTGAATTTGTGTATTTATATGTGTATATTTTTATTTCACATTCTTGGGAAGTTTCTTGAGAATTTTCTCTAAATGGCAAAGCAAGAAATGTTAATTAATTAAAAAAAATATGAAAAGAAAACTTAATAATATTAGAATCTGGGGTCCACATTGTAACATTTTAGAATGCCAGTAAGCCCACAGATATTTTCCTTTTTGGTCACCATTACTGTTCTTCCCACCTAAGTTTTTACTTTTTAAAATGTGTTTTAATTATATAAAATTGGAAGATAGCATGCTGCTAAATGCCAAATTCCAAAATGGGCTTGAGAGGTATTTACAGCTAATGCTTGTTTGTCTGCCTCTAAAAGAATCCACATAAGCAGAAGTAGCAGGGATAATCTTATGACATTTCTAGTAGGGAATAGCAGAGAACATTTTGATAAATTGGGTGTTTGAATTAGGGGACACAAAGCAGCAGCCATTGTATAAGAGTATCCACACAGATTATCTAAGATCCAGATGTGCCTACCGTGCCCAAAAGAGTGAGAATCCATGCTAAAACTCTTAGTTAAGAAAAAATTAGATGATTCACATATCAGTATATGTGTTTCTTTTTGTATAGCTTCCTAAATCACCTCAGCTTTTCAGTTTTTAGCCATTTTTAGAAATCTCGCCTTAAAGTAATTATGGGAATGTTTTGCTACATCAACCCAATTTCTGAACACATTCAACATGAGAACAATTACCCTGTTTTGATATTGCAGGTCTTAACTTAAATTTCATAGGATCTAACTGGAAAAAAATGTCACGTTAGTCGTCTGCAAGTTTTCTGCTGGTTTTCCATCAAGACAATAATTAGATAAAAAAGGATTGGATTCAGGGCAGGAATGCAGCCTGAATAAGCATATCAGACAAAGATAAGGAGAGACAGGGAGACTTGAAGATTTTGTTATTGTAGCTTTACAATAAAAGTAGTACTGGCTTACACATGACATTGGATTCCTAGTCTAATTTACCTTGAAGCTGACAGTCACGTTGCTTTCCTTCAGAGATAAGTCCCTTATTCCGGCTTTCTTCAGAAATGATTGTGTTATGGTTAGAACTAGCGGATTCAAGTCTTCATTGCCTTATGGAAGGCTAGACTCCTCATATCCCTGATGGGAAGCTGTTCTAAGCTGGGGTTGCTACAGAGAAGGCACACCTCTACTAACATTTAAGGCAGACGTGTCAAACACAAGGCCCAGGGGTCAGATGCAGCCCGCGAAGTGGTTTCATGTGGCCCGCGAAGCCATCCTGGAAACAGTGAGGGAACGGCCCCCTTGGCCCTGGCCCAGGCTAGCCGGGAGCCAATGTACAATTTTGTGGTGGCCATCTATGCTGAAACACATTCAGTCTTAGCTCCACAAGGCTGTCTGGAAACAGCGAAGAACCAGAAGAACCTTGAGCAGTAGCCTTGAGGAAGTGGGGCTGGGCTTGGTGCCGCAGGTGCTCAAGGGCCAGGCTGGGCATTTGATCTCTGCTGCCCAGGGCTCCGGGCAGCCTACACCACATCCATCCCCCCCCCGCATGGCTTGAGAGGAACAGTGAGGCTCCTCCAGTGGACCATGCCTTGGCACTTGCCCTGGTCCCACCCCCTTCTGCCAGAGATCCTCAGATCTGTCCCACTCCTGCCTAAGTCCCCACAGGCACCCTTCACATGAACAATGTAGAGCTGGCCACGCCCACCCAGTAGGCCACACCTACTCTATCCGTGCCAACCCGGTAGGCCGCACCCACCTGGCCCCCTGAGGGCAACCACAGTGCTGATGCGGCCCTCAATGAAATTGCGTTTGACACCCCTGATTTAAGGGAAAGGACATGGAATATATCCACTCTATCTGACATAATAAGATGGACCAATATTCTGAAGGCAAGGTATAGTGCCATGTGGATCTTTAAAAATAATAAGCAGCACCTTGAATTCCATGCAGAAAGCAACTGGGGGCCAGTGCAACTTACATAACAATAATTAATTTGTACCACTGCATTTTGGACCAGTTGCACGTCTGGTGGTCTTCAGAAGGATCCCCACATAGAATTCATTGCAGTAATCCAACTATTCTGATATTATTTTACTTCATTTCATCTAATGCATGTCCATGAGCAAGTTTCCCAATTTTCAGAAGGAATTTTTCTAGCTCTACCTACATATTGAAACTTAAGTCCTTTCATACACAAACCTTTTAAATCATTTCCTAAGGAACAGTGGATCTTGATATTACTGTCATATTTGGTAATAGGCATCATTCTGTAATAAATATACTTTTTTCCTTCTCTCACTCAAAATATTGTCCTTATTTTTAGGATCTTGGCTTGGCTCAGATTTCTGCCACCAACACCAAGTCTCCAGTTCCACTTGGATCCCTAGCCCATCAGATTTACAGGATCATGTGTGCCAAGGGCTATGCCCAAAAAGACTTCTCATCTGTACTCCAGTTTTTACGGGAAGAATAAAACTGGTGAAACCTTTATTGACTTTTAACTAGAGACATTCTTTAAAAAAAACATGTATTTAGAACCTCTTTCAGATTAATCAATAAATACATGAGTTTAATCAAAGATCATGAATCATGATCTCACCCACTTCTGTATTCTAAAGTCACAGCTAACTCCAAGATTTCCTATCATTTCAAATACTGTGGAAATTTTTTTTAATAATTTATATATAACTTACTTTATTATTAAAAAATGCAGTAATGGGGTTTAAAGAAAACCCAGTATATTTGTATTTACATACATACTTTGAAACAATCCTTTTCCAAACTCGTATCTCCAGATGGGATGGATTTTTAGTTGCATTGCAAAATGGACAGGAGCTACTAGATTGGAAAAAGTTTTTCTGAACTGTACAAGTATAACGGATTAAAGAGACTGATCCTGAACTTCCTTAGTAATATTTCAATTTGATTTTAAAAACAAAATTATAATGAAGAATTAATGATAAAAATTATATTAATTAATGGTTTGCAATTTATTTGAAATCTGGTGCTTATGGGTTTAGAAAGTCATAATAAAAATAACTGCTGCATGTTTAACATTTTTTCTTCACTAGCTTAATTTTATACATTTTTAATTTTCACATCTTTTCAAAAGATTCATGCCTGCTTTCTTTACTGACATGCTGATATCTTGTATTGTTATAAATCTAAATAACTACTTTGGAATCTAAAGTAATGATCAGAAGAAAAGATACATGGTTTACTGTGAGTGGGTATTTTCTTGCTTTATTATGATCAGATTCTATGCATACTCATACCAATAAAAATGCATTTGAAAAATACATAGAGAATTAAAGAACTGTCTTGCATAAACAAGAGGACATCGCGTAAAGGTCTGTAGATTGGTGTGCTCATTAAAATTTCTATTCTTGTTAAAAATACAGTCTACAACTATTAAAATGGATAACCACAATACAGAATATATTTAAGACTATTAATCACCTGGTATCATAAACAGAGCATGCGACCAGTTTTCTTTATTTTTACGGAAATTCTTGAAACTCTGCATGAAGAGAAATAATAAACATTAATCAGAATTGCCTGATCACCATAGCTTTTAACAGGGCAGTTGATCAACCTACAAATTATGGACTCTCCTATAAAAAGTGTAATGAATTATCGACATAATCGGATCACTTTGGAACATGTTCATCTTTTTTGTTACTGTCACCATGATCTATTCAGAACTGAAGAAATAGAAAATTTATATAATCCTTTTTATAATTAGCTATAATTATATAAGTGATTTCAGATCACTCTTGTGAGGTTTTAAGTGTGAGCAAAATGAACAATATGGCAGCAGAAAAATTGCTGAGTCAAAAAGACTGAAGAAAGTTCTCTGCTGATTCTGTAGAGCTGACAGATGATAGGACAGATGTGATAACAATAGCACATAAACACATGGAGAATTCTGGAAAGTAAGCAATCAAAGTGTTCCAACTAAGAATGCTGGAAATGTGAAATGGGTGAAGCTTCCTCTTTCATTTCGATAGACAAGGCTATTAAGGGAGGAAGATCAGCCTGTTAAGTAAAGGTACATAGGACAGGGGTAGAAGACTTCTTTTTCATGGAGTGGTTTTCTTACTCTATTGGGAGGGCTGGATTTTGTTTCCCAAGCACTACATGGGTTTTTTCTGTTTTATTTTGTTTTATGATTAGCTATTCTATACTATCAGCTATGAATGTCAAGTAAATTTAAGTGCTTTATTTTCTACAGTGGTATCATAAAAAAAAACCCTGCAAATCCCATAGTAGATTAAGAGTCTGTCTTCTTACAGTCAACATTTTCCAACTCTTCAAGAGTTTGAAAAAATTTCCAAAGTCATTTTAGTGGAGTAGGGACTGAAAAAATGAGCAAGGAAAATTCTTGTCAAACAAACCAAAATTTAATACTGATATAGTATTACTGTTTCATTAAAAAGAATGGCTATGCAGCCTTGTTGGCATAATTGCAGTTAATTACATAGGGTAGAGTTTGCTGCTAAACATTTTAACACAAAAAAGTGTAGTCATATGCATGTCCACTCATAAGTAAATTGAGAGGTTTATTCCCCTAAAATTCCTTTGAGTTCTGTTCCATGTTTCCATCCCAGGTCAATACATACACAATTGCACGATTTAGTAACTGAAACATCCGTTTTGTGGCAATAGGTTTACTGAAATAACAAAAACTGAAAATACCCATATATTAGTCTTGATATGTGAACACTCAGAAAATAGATCATTACTGTAATAGACTTATCACACGTGTGTCTATTCCTGTGTCTGCATTTTACACTTTATCATAAATTGTATCATAACAGAAGCACATGATTTATTAAATATATAAAAAGATACTGAAGGTTTCAAATCTCAGTCCTTGTTTCTGCAATTTTTTTTAACCATGAAATTTATTTTTTGATACCTGGAGTAAAAACTATGCTTTGACTACTGAATTTCATAAATGGAGTTAAAGAAAAACACTTTTTTATTTTCTCTTTATCTTCTCCTTGCTAATCATGTAACACAGAGTTAATTAAGTTAACATCTGCTTGCTGAGTTTTCTTAGAAAAAGCCAGGCTTGTGTGAATAACTATATATATTCTGTTAGTAACCAGAAAATGTACCCAATCTTAACAGAAAATAAAGCTGAGCTTATCAATTGCTGAATGACAACAATCATTCCACTGGAGATGAGAAAAATTACATTATCTGAGAATATGTCTCTGCAAATATTTTTCCCCTTTTTCAATGCAAACGTATGGAAAACTATTGCGTAGAGGGATTTGGGGTTCACTTCTGAAGCTTTCAATTCCAGCCTTTAAGATCAAGGAGATTCCATGCAAATTCATACCCAAGAATGGTTACTTTGGCCCAGTCACTCTCTTGGCCTACTTTGTCTCACTTGGTTTTTGACCACCTGAAAAAAAGAGGCAGATTATAAATGAAGATAGGGATTGTGTGGTCTGTATCCTGCAGGAGAGTTAAGAGTACAGGTTAATAAATTCAAATCTACATGTGAATTACATTTAGATTTCAGGTGGAAAAGAGATATAATTTGGAACAAATTAATCTGATACCAAGAGATACCAAGTATACCATTTGAATGGTGTTAAATATCTTTGATCCAGCATTCACTGTGGTTTGCTCTTGTTTGAGAATTTCTCATGAGGCAGATTCAGCACTTCAAATTATTTAAGATATGATAGATACTCCACTTTTTATTTTGAGTAAATAGCATTCACAAGGAAGCTATACAATTTTTAAATCATAGTAACTGAACAAAATCAGGAAAGAAAAAAAAGCAACTCCAAAATACTGAGGTATATAATCAATTAAAGTTCAAATTATCATCATTCAGTTAAAATTTTGCATAGAAATCATTAAGTGGCTTAAGTTCATGTTAAATCAATCCCTCAAAAGCACAGAAAAAAATATTATCCCATGCCTGGGCTACCTCTATGTAAACAGTGGGACTTTCAGGCAGTCTGCATAAATACAACTAATGCAAACAGAAACTATTTATAAAAAATCATGAAATAATAAGGAAGGTATTGAATGCCAATAGGAAAAGAAATAAGCCCAGACTTCCTCCTGCCTGCTTTGTTTTTACAATGAGAATACAAAGATATTTGCTCAGTAGATAGATAATAGTTTAGATTGCAAGATTTGATTGTTAATAAGATGATATATTCTGAAACTCAGGAGTCTAATTCACCTGACTGGTTTCACTATCTTCAAATAAACAGCATAGTACTGAAAGTACAAAATATGAAAATCTTATAATGTAACATGGAACATATGCTGGGTCTTATTTATAAATTATTGATAATGTATGGTTTGGAAACCAAAAAGTCAAAGATTGTATGATTGCATGGATGAAGAATTTAGAGGCAATAATAGATATGCAATAACTGGAATTTCAGTTGAAGAATAATAGTCCAGATGTCATATTTAAAATAAATTGGTATAGGATATTTTGTTGTTATTATATTAGTTTAGTCCTTATTGCTAAAATGAATAATTTATTCTCTAAATATATAATTAGACATGTAATTAACAGGTTGGATCATTCTTTCACACTTGGAAGCAATATTGTAAAGTTCACAGTTTTGGGAAATGATTCATGCCAGAATGAATAAATTTCAGATTCTGTTTCAGCTTGTATTATTTTTATTAAACATCAAAGTATTGGCTTGGTATATAGTAACTGTTGCATTAATACTATATATCTATTATTGGAAAGAATGTTTTATGAACTCTGTGGAAGAATGAATAACCAAGCTGTCAAAATATATTTTGCCGTTCAGAATAACTTCATATCTAAAAGTAAACATTCCCAGATTCTAATTCAATATGCACAAAATATATCTTTTTCTGTGCATACTGTCTATATTTAAAATTTATGTACTTTCTGAGCTAGAACAGATTTTTAATAATATGGATTCAGCTTATTGCAATTCATAATTTATTCTGTCAGTTATACTATGCTGACCATGATTTCTGATATTGAAACTTTGTACAGCTTTAATAGTGATTTTCATTTGTTTGGCATAACTGATTATTTGTAGACAACCCATAATATACAGGTAGTCCTCAACTTACGATCATAATTCAACTCAAAATTTCTATTGCTAAATGAGACAGTTGTTAAGTGTCTTTTGCCCCATTTTAAGATTGCCACATGTGTTAAGTGTATCACTGCAGTTGTTCAGTTAGTAACATGATTATTTATGGCTTCCCCATTGACTTTACTTGTCAGAAGATAACAAAAGGGGATCATGTGACCCCAGGACACTGCAGTTGTCATAAATATGAGCCAGTTGTCCATCATCTTGAGTTTTGATCACGTGACCATGGAGATGCTGTAATGGTAGTAAGTGTAAAAAATAGTCATGAGTCATTTTTTTCAGTTCTGTTGTAACTTCAAACGGTCACCAAATGAATGATTATAAGTCAATTGTAAAATTATATCTTCTGGAACATTAATAAATAAGACCACAATTCTGTTCCTGCTTATCTGGGAGTGATCTCTTTAAAAACAGTATGTAAGATTTAAAGCATATATAGAAGTGTACTAAAAATGCACGCTTATATGAGACTACATCTCTTCAAATTTTTTAGTTTTTGCTCTACTGAAAAAACACAAAGAACCTAGTGATCCCTATTATTATTTTTCTGCAAGAGAACACATGTGGGCTGCTCTATGAATCAAACCAATAAATAAAAAAATCTAGGACTGCAATCTGAGATACCAAATTCTTGGCCAATATGTCCAGATTTTACAGAAGCCCCTTGAGGCCCTAGTTCTGGCAGCACAGTGTGATTTTTGTAGTTTTATTGCCAGGACCCTAGTGCTTGTTTAAATTCTGCTTTTATGACCTAATGTAGCTCTCCAGATTTCCACTTGGACTGACATTTGTGCATCTGACTATTTTGCATATTACACAGCTAACCAGACAAGGGGGCATTTAATGTATTGCCCTGACAAGCAGGAAAATGCCTGATACTCAAATCTGCTGTGAGCCAAAAGAATGGAAAGGTAATTGAGGACTTCTTAAGAAACTATCTCTGGCCCTTCAAAAGAAAATAAAAAGAAACACAAGAAAGCTTGTTAGATTTGAGCAGGAGCAAGTTTTCCTCTCTTTTTTTTTCTAATAGAGATGTCATTGGTGAATAGATTGATGCATCATCAAGCAAAATAAACTTCCCACAATGAATGCATGATAGTTATGTTTGCACATGATTCAGCAGTTTTTTGATGTTACTACTTTTCTGAATCTTTTCACAATTATGAAAAACCAGAATTATGCTTCTTAACATACACTGCAATGCAATTTAGTGTGGGGGGAGAATCCACAATATTTGCAGGACTTGGCATTGTTTTCTTTTTATTCTTTAATTATACCTGGAAAATCTAGATACCACACTGAACACATCAGTAAAATATGCGCATATACACAGAAATGTATAGACATACGGTTTTGCTATATTTCATGCTAGGTGTCATTGTAAGCATTACTGGACATGTGCTTGGTAGCTTAAAAAAATCATATATAGTATCCATAGAATCCATAGTGGTTGTAAGTCCCTTGAGCAACAATGACTCTTTGTTCAGATTGTTACAGTGTTAGTGCTTGTTTTCATTTCAAATCAATTTCATACATATTTCAACCAGGAAGGAGATTATATTTGAATTGGTATGAATTTGAATTGAAATGAACTTCAGTCTCAAGGTGAAATGAAATTGTTGAAATGACCTTCCTGAACTGGGTAATGGAAAATATTTGAACATCACAGAATTATATAATAATTTGCTTTATGATAAGCCTGGCTATTTGCCAATTTAGCCAGCCCAATATTGTCTAGTGTGAATCATAATTACTTTCCAGTTACTTGCCTTTAATCAATTAAATTGAGTTCCTGTCATCTGCAGAATCTCAGGACATCATACAACTCAGATTCTGATGCAGTTTCTTGAAAGAGAAAGGAGCAGAAAAATATATCATGAAACAAAGGGCAGTCCAGATTCCAGATTCTATTATTATATAGAGATAAAGATCTTGGACCAAGTAAGTACATATGAAGGAAGCTTTTAGATTCTAAAAAAATCTAAAAGATTCTTAAATACAAGATGAGAGATGAGTTTTCATAAAATAAATATGCACAAAGCCAAGTCTCTTTGGGCCATTAAACATTAAATTTTCATTTACCAATCTGATCTGGAGATGAGAGATAACTTAGTTTAGGCCAATTTTTAAACAATTCTAACTGATTAGCACAGAGGTTTCTAGCACATCATTTGGATTGCACACTGCAGTCTTTACTTTAAAAATTACGCACATAATTGTATGCAGAAAAAGTGCATACAAATATGGTACCAAAAAGATTTAATATATTGGTCATTTCGCTCCTGAAAAGAAGTAATAAATGCTTTTGATCTTTCTTTGAAGCAGCAGTACAAGGTTAAACTGCCCTTTCAGAAACAACCAGATGCCCATAAAAACGGATTCTTTTCTTTTATAGGAAGTTGCCAAGGCCTGTCCAGCTGTGCTGGTTTGTAAACAGATTAGTTTTAAACACTCAGTAGCCCTGATTTACTTTGTTTAAAGCAGTATGTTTTAGCCTATTGGCTAGCCTCAATGAGCTGTGCAATGTCCTGCAGATTTCCGTCAGCTAAAAAGGGCTATTAGATAATTATACTCAAAGTTAAATAGACATATTTAAGACTGGAATTGTTTACTTTCCATTTTACTCATATGTTCCAGTGCTTTAAAAGAAAGCCTGATAGAATATTTATATTTGGGATTTTTGATGTCCAGGCATTTTGACCTTGTGTTGGAATTTGGAAATAGAA